GAGGGTCTAAGACCTTGCAGGCTTACCAAAAAGTCTACAGGATTCATTGTTTGATTAAAAATAAAATGCATAGGGTGTCTAGAGACGAGTCTACATCAGACAGCTGAAATTCCTGGCTTCATTATAAAATCCAAAAGTCAAAACGGGTCTAAATCCAAGGCAAAAGTAAAACAAAAATTTGCTTTCTAATAATACCCCGCTCTAGCTAGAGCTAACGCGTACGCTGCGCTGGGGATCATGGTGGATCTTGGAGCGTACAATATTAGCTACGCGTAGCCTATAGCCTACAATGCACTCGAGGGAGCGTACTAGTACTACGCGTACGCGCGCGCACTGGATCCCCATGGTCACGCGTACGCACCGTGCAATATAACTTTTTACTGCGCTTTTTCTGCACTCATTTCTGCAAAATCGTGCTTGCATCAAAAATTTGTCAATGCCATGTGACGCGTATTGACCAATCACGATGCTTAAAATACTAGGCTAGATCTAGAGCCATTTTATAATACACCCTAAAACTGTTAAATGGGACATCAAGCTCAACCGGGGGTGGAGTTTGGACTGTTGTGTGCGCTACAAATAGTCTAGATCTAGATCTAGATCTAGAGATTGAATTTCCATGTTTATTATTTTTGCATTTTTTTTATTACATGAATGGGGTAGATCTAGTCTAGATCTAACGTTAGATCTAGATCTAGATATCTAGGCCTAATTAATGTCAATGCAGATCTAACGTTAGAACTCTAGATCTAACTGTTAGGCCTAGAAATCTAGAGTCTAGATCTAGTCTAGACTTCTAGATCTAGATCTAGATCTAGCCTAGACCTGATATTTTTGCAAAAACCCAGGATTAGGCCCTAGACTAGGTCTAGATCTACTGATTTTTCCTTTACATTTTGAAACAAATATGTATTAAATAACAATATATAGACCTAGATCTATCATGAATGTTTGCCCTTTGGAGTATTTATCAATGATAATTTTTCAGAAATCCATAAAATATTAAATGGCATCATGCTGACCGGATACCCAACCCGGCCGGACAGCCAAGGCATAGTAGGCCTAGACCTCTAGGCCTGGGCTACCCAACGACAGGCGCGGCTAGCGCCAGCTGACGAACACGTAATACTATAGGCTAGATCTATAAAAGTTTTTATAAAATGGCTCTAGTATTTTAAGCATCGTGATTGGTCAATACGCGTCACATGACATTGAAAAAATTTTGATGCAAGCACGATTTTGCAGAAATGAGTGCAGAAAAAGCGCAGTAAAAAGTTATATTGCACGGTGCGTACGCGTGACCATGGAGATCCAGTGCGCGCGCGTACGTGTAGTACGCGCTCCCTCGAGTTGCATTGCAATTATTGTAGGCTACGCGTAGCTAATATTGTACGCTCCACCATGATCCCCAGCGCAACGTACGCGTAGCTTAGCTCTAGCTAACTAGCTAGATCAGAGCGGCCAGCGCCAGCGGGGTATTATTAAAAAGCAAATTTTTATTTTACTTTTGCCTTGGATTTAGGCCTGTTTTGACTTTTGGATTTTATAATGAAGCCAGGAATTTCAGCTGTCTGATGTAGACTCGTCTCTAGACCCACTGTATGGATTTTATTTTTAATCAAGGCAATGAATCCCATTGACTTTTTGGTAAGCCTGCAACTTGCAAGGTCTTAGTCTAGAAGTAGAACCAACATAACTCTAGATCTAGATCTAGATCGAACTCTCGTAGACTCTAACTTATTAGATCTAAAGTTTCGTTTGTTGCTATTTGTGTCGCTATTTTATAAAACAAATAACGCACTTGACCCTGTTGTGCAAAACGTAAATGCAGTAAATGCTCGGTTTCTTCAGATGGTTCGCACTGTCAACTCGCCGCAAGCGGCTCGTTGCACAGAGCGGCACCAATCTAAAGAAACCTCGCGCGTACTGCATTCACCGCTATTGCACTCTGGGCCGTGCGTTATTTGTATAATAACAAACAAGAACCATGTACACTTACTGAGTTCAAAGAATCCTACTGTGTCTTCTGGATCTATAGGCAGGTATTTTCTAATACTTCGATCCGCTGAACAGACCCTGACGCTTAATGGCATGGTTGCATGCACTTCGATCACTTCACATCTAGAATCTAGGCCTAATTTGAAGAATTACTACTCCAGAATCAAGACTTCAAGTCAGTGCCAGTGAAATTCTCTAGCCACATGCTCTCGTCTAGCTGTGCGCGCGCAGCTGCAGAGGCGCATATCGGATCATATGACAACTTTCGTCCAATGATTTTCGTCGAATTCTCTAGCTTATGCGCATGTGCGATTTTATAACACCAAATATGACACCATCAGCCTGTAATTGAATATTTTCACACCGTTGGTGTTATTTTTCGCCAATCGGACATGAAATGAACACCAAGGGTGTTGATATTTTTCTATTCCATGCTGGTGTTGAATATTTAACACCCTGGTTTTTGCAGTGTAACAACTTTCTCATATTATGCACCCCAAGTACTCATCTTTGTACATTAACTCAAACTAGGCAAATCTTTGTTTACATTCTTGCATACGTGTACCTTTCAATCGCATGCCGTAGTGTACATTACATAACAATAACATTTGGTATGTGAGCCGACCGTCTCGGCTACTGTTCAATGTAAGTTACATCCATGTAATGTACACAGCGAGTTAGGTGCGAATGAAAGGTACTTAATCATAGATTATCGCATCATTACAGCATTTATATACATCATTCATCACATATAATCATTACATACCTTCATTCTGCCTTCTTAAGTGCATCTAACATCCATATTACACAAGGATGCCTCCAATATCAACAGATTTCATCCACTGGAAACCAAAAAGGGTGCCATTTCTTCACACGAATTTAGTAGCCTCTAGATGACGCTAAACAGAAATATAATCAATCTACTTGATCGACTTAATAAAATGAATTCATATCGATCACTGAAACATTATGGATCAATAAGATTGATCAACTTAAAATCTCACATGCTTTTATTGGGCTGCGATTTTCAGTATTTTAATAAACCATTCAACAACAACATCAGCAACAACTACAACAATAACATCAAACAACCATAATGTCACTTGTCTGCCATATTCCCCATCTGATTTATGACCCACAGTCTTACAACGGCGGACCGACGGGGGAGGGGTGGAGATTGGAGAAGGAGGGGAGGGGAGGGAGGGGGGCATCCCCACTATGTTATTCCATTACCAGGTCATACTATATAATGTAGTGTCAACCATTTAGACCTAGGACTAGTTCTATACCGAGCGCTATTTCTACGGAGAATTTGATAACTAAACTATACAAAAAGAGAATAATGTTTTGAAACATAGGCTGCAAGAGAAAGCAAATGTTACATGTGTTGTATTATAGAAAGTTAGTTTTAACGTACGTTTGTCTAATCGCCATGTCTATATTAATTTGGACATGGCCCCATAACTTTTGCCCGGTATTTCATACCCTTTATTTTATCTTAAAAAGAAAGTATTATCATAAGCTATGGACTTACACGTAGTAACTATTGTGAGAGTCAAATATTTTATAATACAACTCTGAGAGATGTATGATGACATCATCATAAAATCATCAGGGATGTGCGTGTATTCAGTCAATCAAAAACGCGTATACTTTGATAGCGCATTCTCATTGGCTAGAAGTTCTTAAATGGGCGGAGCTTCAACATCAAAACATTGTGTCCACGTGTTTCTTACATAATGATTCACGTGTGTGCATGCTGTGCATAACATATTATACACATCTGCTAGCGATTTTCGATTCAGATTCGACTATTACTCGTGGTCTGTCATCAGTTTTGTTTAAACAAGTAGTTACTATGTAACTTCTTGGTTTAAATACTCACAGAAGTCGATAGACTATTAAAAATGAAATCACCGAGACAAGTGCTGCTCTGCAAAAAGAAGATACAAATTATAAACATGATATTTTTGGCTTGCATAATGATCTCCCCTTAACAAATAATGTTAAAGCAGTGGCCTAGGGCAATATTTACTTGTTGGTGAAAATGCTGACGTCTTTTAGGGGTCGTAATTTTTGTATACGGATCCATTCAAGCATTTAACAATGGCTATTGTATGTTGACTCAACTAGCGTAAATTTCTCGACTTCCCACAAAAAGGGCCCAATAACAATATCAAACTGTGAAAATCCCTCTTCTCCAATTCTCACCAAACAGAAGAAAAGAAGCAAGAATTTTATTGGAAGATTTAGACCACCTCTTTGGACAATATGTCGTGTTTGGTTTCTTTGCAGATGGACAAGGCTGATTCTGGACCCTTGTATAAAACGTAAGCTGTTAGAGGTTTTTGTATAACCAGGGAATTGTCGTAAAAAGAGGAAAAGATGTCTTGAAATGCAAGCCTAATAACGGATGAGTGAGGTCATGACAGGCGAATCGTGAAGGGTCGCACTCGGGGAAAAAAATCTGTGCATCAAGGGCAAAATATGCCGAGAAAAAAATGTGTGTGCATGCTGGTTTTCTACTGCGATTCATATTGTTCGCCTGCACAGATGTTTAGCATGTGCAATTTTTCCCTTATAGTAGCAATACTCAATAGAAGCATGTGTGATTTGTTTTACGTAACGCTGAGCCATTGTAAATACACCCCGATCAATTAGTCTAGCTGTATTTGTGCCAGCAATGATAAAACAGTGCACATGTAATTTCGGTGGCTGGCGCATCTGTCTGCAAAGCCATTCATTTGTCTGCATAAGGTTTGTTTGATAATTCTGTCAATTTATTTTGCGTGGGGAGTTCGAAGCACCACGAGCAAATATTGCCCCACAGCCGTCCCGTTTCTCAGCGGCACAATCTTTACGGTCTCCACGTATTGAAACGTGCTGAAATTTGAAATATGTGCAACTCGGGACTTTTGCTACTGTGCATTGCGAATCATTCATGTTTTTCCCGGCATGCTGTGAAAATATAAAGATGCTGACTATTTCTTCATTGTGTGCAGGACTGGAACAAGGAATTAAAGAGGAATATTCGAAATGGCGATTTACGGCGATGAACGAGAATACATTCCAATATTGCAAATGATGACGACGCGCGACAAAAATCGAAGATGGGCTTCCAGTGCCACGGATATTACGGATGTTGTGGACAGAACAGTCTTGAAAATAGGAGGTAAGCGGTTTCTTTCTCATATTATTTGTAATTCCTTATGTATATGCGGAATTGCTCGTTTACAAGGTTATCGGTAATAAGTTGTGGTGAACATGGGATTTGCGGCGTGTAATGCAATTGTTATGTTGTGTACCTTTTGTTCACGGTTGAATACACGCGTTGAATAGCAGGTTGTGTGTTCAAAGCCGCCCAACCCGAAAAGTTCCCAAGCATATCGAGTTTCAACAAGGGAGATTTAGGGGTGATATTCATCTTTTGATCCCCATTGACAGCAATTAATGACGTGAGGAGCTTGTATAATGCGAAACCTTACAAGACGTGAGTTGTGCTACGAATGAGGTGAAAAGAGGAAGTTGCACCTCCTTGACTGACTTGAATTCAGCGGTACTTGTTCACTCATCGCTCGACTATCGGCGGGGAGAGATTAGGCAAACCTACCGCTGAGAGCTCGCAGCGTGCAATGCCATTCACAGCAGACGACGAGATTCAATGTGCTGAAACGTGCGCTTTTCTTTTCAGCTCCATTTAGCGTGCAGTTGTGTAGGCGTGCATTGCAGCTAGCGGAATATTGTGTGCAGGCTTCGAGACTCTGAACAAATACAACAAAATAGTTTGTCCTGAAGTTGAGCACACCTCTTTTCTTTGTACAAATCTTATTGTACATGCTCTTGGCTGCCTTTTCTGCAAATGAATAAACTTATCAGACTACATCAGAGAAGAACCATTGGAGCTGGAATCATGATTTGAATAGGGTTAACAATTTGGCACCAAAGTTGTGAAGTTCTTTCAACTTTAACTTCAAGCTGGTTCTAGATCTTGATTTTAGATCGAGGACTACTTGAAAAAGTCGAAGAATGGCAGAAAAAAGTGATGACAGCGAGAAGGGTGGCATTTATGAGCGGTCTCTGAGAAGTAACAAAGGTATGATGCATTTAATATTTCATTCCTGATATTGAGTGGGCTTTCTTGAGGAATTTGACACCATACGGGTATTTACCCAATAACAGGTGTTGTCATCAATCAGCAGGATTCTAGCCTTCAGTGCTATATCTGACAGGCCTTATGTAATACTAATATTTTGCATTTTCCATCCCCAAAATGGTAAAGCATGGACCTACATTACATGGGTAAAGTCATCATCTCACTTTACTCTCACCTGAAGACTCTACGAGTCTGAAAGACTAGGGGTATTTCTTGGTAGGCCTACGGGTTAGCTGTGTGCAGACTTGTACACCCATTATTCATTAATGTTATTTCCACCAAGTCTGGTGTCACTAAATTATGGTCTTCTGCACAAGGAACCTGATGACCCTCTCCATTTAATGTAGAGATCGACAGACAGTAGATATATAATTCTATTTGATTGATTAAGGTCTAGACGAAAGTCTAAAGTTTTATTAGATCTTTAATTACCATATTAAACTGTATGATTTAGATCATGTAGGCCTGGACTTTGACAATGAACTTTGGAGTTTCTAATTTCAGATAGTAATAAATTTTACGGCTTCGACGTGATATAATTTGGAGAACTGATAATAGACATACCTGTACAATGTATATGTTGTATATTAATCAATAGTACTTCAATTCAGCTTTAGGGTCAGTTATTTACTAGGTATTTTCCTTTGAAAATGAAAATTCCAGTAGACCCTTATTCATCATATGAAAATTTAAAAGTATTTGATTTATCTCCTCCAGCTCCATGACTCTTTTTGCACTTCAATATTACACTTACATAATACATGTTTTTTGCACTTTAATGTTTACACTAAGTGTATATTAGAAACTGGTTAAATCCCACTGAGATAAAACAAATCAAATGATTATTTTTTATGACTTTTCATAATTTAGTATTTGAAAGTTGTTATTTCTCTAAATGAATGTGAATATGGGTTTGTGAAAAGTGTGAAAAGTAAAATACAGTGCAGCATTTTATCACTACAGCTACAGGTTGTACATGAAATGTTCAACAAAACCTGTGTATTGCTTTTGACAACGAGATAGCCAAATACCTGTATACTGTACTTCAAGCAAGTTCACGGAGTGGAATGCATTTCTGTATAAAAGTCAAATACATGTATATATCTACAGTGGTGTACACTGTTATAAGCCACTAATGGGGGTAGCACTCTGATTCATACAAACTACTCCCTAATATCCACAGATCTTTTACTCAGAATGGAAACGTCCCACTTTGAGCATCTTGTAATAATCGTTGATTGCCAAAGTGATGGAGGTGCTTCTTCACTAACTCTCTTGAAAAGAATGCTTCCACCAATGAACTACAGAATGTACCACCGGTGCAGAAATGAATACTGATTACATAACATTCATGAACGTGTATCCATCAGTTGTCTCAATGGACTATACAGTTTTGTACAAATTATGATATTTATCTGCCAATGTGCAGATAGCATCTCCAAAGTGGAGATTGTTTTGGATGAGATGAAGCAATATTCTTATGGACATACATGTATAATATAAAATATACTTTGAGCAATCATAAAGAGAGAAGAGAGAGAGAGAGAGAGAGAGAAAGGGGGTGGGGGAATAACTATGGTACCTGTTAAAACGGTATCTTAAACTTTTAGATGATCCCAAAACATTCAACTTCTGTGACATACTTAAATCTTAAAAGTTCATTTTAGTTTTGAAGAGAAAACTCATGAGGGACTTTAGCTCACCTCACCCTAGACCGAAAGCTTCAGTCTCTATAATCGTCGGTTGTTCCACTGAGACTACGTCTGGCTCCACTAGACCTCCGGTTATAGAGACTGAACGACTGCCTATGCCAGCCTGTGTTGAACTTATTCCGCTAGATTTTAGCCGCTAGGCCCCTCCCACAAACTTGCCACGGCCGTATTGTTATGCCCCCAAAATCCCCCAAAATGTCATTTTACCTCGTTCATTTCCAATTTTAAATTAGGCCTAGGCTATAATACATCGGTTCCACTTACTAACTTGATTGATATAATCCGTTTAATGGTCCCTTTTAAGGAAATTATCGGTCAAAATCGACATCCATGTTGAAAATCTTGCAAGCCGTGTTAAACTCTCGCTGCCGTCAATCTTATCCCTTCTAGTCTACGCCGAAGGCAAAATGATTATGAAGGAAAAACTGTGATAACGCCATTACGAACGTGTAGATGGCGCACAGTTTTTCCTTCATAATCATTTTGCCTTCGGCGTAGACTAGAAGGGATGAGATTGACGGCAGCGAGAGTTTAACACGGCTTGCAAGATTTTCAACATGGATGTCGATTTTGACCGATAATTTCCTTAAAAGGGACCATTAAACGGATTATATCAATCAAGTTAGTAAGTGGAACCGATGTATTATAGCCTAGGCCTAATTTAAAATTGGAAATGAACGAGGTAAAATGACATTTTGGGGGATTTTGGGGGCATAACAATACGGCCGTGGCAAGTTTGTGGGAGGGGCCTAGCGGCTAAAATCTAGCGGAATAAGTTCAACACAGGCTGGCATAGGCAGTCGTTCAGTCTCTATAACCGGAGGTCTAGTGGAGCCAGACGTAGTCTCAGTGGAACAACCGACGATTATAGAGACTGAAGCTTTCGGTCTAACCTCACCCTAGCCCTCACTTTGTGTTGCATTGCCAATCACTTCTTGGAAGTATGCACTGTGCGCCTGCCAACTTCCTGAGGTGAAAGCGTGATATGCATCCATTAAAATCTGTGTGCAAATTGTCATTTTTGTGATAGCATGAGATGATTATGGATGTCCATCATGTCATCACATCAACCCTTTATTCACCATGGATCGAAACCCTGTAATACCATATTGCACACGTACACTGTTTGTGTGTGACAAAGGTTGACTGTGGCACTCCAATATTAGTTGCCTTCATCATAATGATCAACCAAAGCAAGTAATGGGTTATACTGACTTGTTTTGTCTACTCAAAGCCAGAAAGAGCATTTTCTTGTACCATCAACTGTAAAATAGTGTTAGCGTTCTGCTTGAGTTTTGGATTTTAGGTTAGGTTCAGAGTTACAGTAGAAGTTGAAAATTTGACTAGTGTAAGATTTTGGTTGTAGTGCAATTGCCAAAGGAGCAGGTGTGGTCGTAGTACAATCCATGCTAAATGAGTAGGCCTATACTATAGGTCTTATATCATGCATGATAAATTATAGTACTTACTGTAAATGTGTCTTACACAAGTTATAAGAGTCACCTACATGTACACACTGTAGTAATGTGTATTCTTTAAAGTCACCAGGACAAGAAAAGGTGTCTAAGGATGGAGGGAACAGTGACAGTAAGCGTATCCATTGGCTTTCCACAGGGCAGGGTGCTGGGGCCTATTGTGTGGCGTGGGAGGTCATTTGATGGCAAGGCAGTCAATACTTCTTGGGAGCTCTTTAGTACCCCCCTTCTGGTGGTACAATGAAGGAGATTCTCTTCGATCCCAGGCTGGATCAATATAGTCTAGCTCATAGACCTATTTTGAGAGATGGTACAGTAACAATCTATGAATGGGAATTTAAACAAAAGGATTGTTACAGCTAACAATTCAGAAATTGCATAATTTGGGAGAAGCCAGTGAACTCAGCATGAACTTAGCATACCATTAAAGCAAAATGAAAAACAACAGTTAACAAAATGTGTAGACCTACAAGGCACATGAACAAGTACATTGTAGGTCTATCTCCAAGTTTTTTTTTACCTTTTAGTATTACAATGTACATGTAGTCCATTATTGTATGCACACATTTAAAGTTTGTTGTTGTTTTTGTTTTATTGACGTGTATCATTCATTTTAGTTGTACGTACAGTGTACATGTACATGTAGCCTCATTACAAACTGTTGTTGTTTTGTGTTTAACAAAGTTATTATAGACAGTTTAATATCAATACGTTTTGTGTTAGTTCAGCTATAAATGAATTTATCTTAAATTGGTAAATCAACTCAAACTGTAACAAATAATGACATACAGATATTATTCACATCATTGACAGATTTTTTTTTTTTTTTTTGGGGGGGGGGGATAGGGCACACTAATTTCTTCACAATTTCTTCGTCTTTTTTGTTGTTGTTTGTTAGACTTAAGACTAGAGACTTTTTTAGTTACATTGTTATATGTGCCCCCTTTGACAGTAGCCTATGTTGGTCTGTCTCCATGGTTAACAATAAATACACAGTGCTTAGAGCTAGACTACTCATTTCAATGACTCATGCGTTCGTAGACATTAGCAATTTTTTTCTTAATATTCGCAACACAATCCTGTAATCCATGTATCCTTACAAATGAATTGAAGGAGACACAATTTAGGTAATATTTATAGCATGAATAATGTAATTTGATCACACATCAATGTTAATAAGGCTCACCTCATTACACACAATAATCCTGCTAAATTGACATCCTTACACAAAATATCCTTGATTTTGACAATCTATTGTAGCGCTCTACACCACCAGGTGCCCAGGACATACAGGCATCCAAAATTTAAGCCTGAACCCCCACATTTTGAATTTTTTACATATAAGGCTTGTACAAAAAAAAAGTTAGTGTACCAGTGACCTGTCTATTGTAATGTAAATGTAAATGTTATTTTATTGGTACTACTCAATATTGTTCTGGTATTTATTTATCAAATCAGACATGAATGCTGGTGATGTATTTATTTCTTATATGAACCTTTGTCTAAATACTACTTTGTTTTCTTGATTATAAGCACAAACAGGGACTTTTCTATAGTATACACTTATTATTTGATCTATTGTACTTATTAAATAGCTCAGGAACTCAGCCTTAGACACCTCTGTACCGCACTAATGCATACATGTATACTGTATCATCTATGATCTTGATGAAGCTTGATATTAGTTAAACTTTCATTCAGATATTAAAAAAAAAACTTTTAATGAACAAACTATAAATGCATTTTGTATTCT